CTAACAAAGGTAATTTTATTGGATTAATTAATCAAAGATTTGTATTCCGTGTAAAGGGAACACTGCAAATTGGTGCGCTAAGGAAGTTATTTCTCAACGAGACCAAATTTCAAATCAAATGTTTTCTTCAAATGAAATGCGACGGGCTTTATCGAGATGTGAGTAGTCACAGTGACCTAATTCTCGGAAATTTTCGTATTCAGATGCTAATCTAATGGTTTATCGCAGTACATATATCGTGAAAGTCCGAATCTTATATTATATCAAGGAGAGGATGTCAAGGATGAACAAACTTGATTAATGAAATCGAATAATAACTTTAAAGAATCAAATATGCCTTACATCCTTTACGGGTCATCAGTGATCATCCGCATAACAAATAAATGTGAGGAACGTAAACTTCCGCAATTTACAGTTGGAATTTAACAATTACGCATCGCTAGCTCGTCATTTTATTAATGTAACAAATTTGAAAGATGAAAACTATATTGCTAATCGTAAATATTTGCTTGTCCGAATTCGTTGTCGCGTTGCGAGTGGGGGGATGCAAATGTTACTATTCTGGATATACAGCTACATATGAAAATTTATTGAATTTGAATTCGACCAGCAGCTTGAGAAGAACCGCGAGGAATCTAAATCAAGGAAAACATTTTGTCAATATGTCAACGGGGGGGGTATGATAATTTAGTTATTTACCTTGACTTCAAGCAATCCATCTTGATATCTTGCTTCGATATTTTCACGATCGAGCGACATATCTATTGTTCAGAAAAAAATCACGACTTGAAATTTAAAATCATATTTTAATGAGTATGACCTTTAATAACAAATTATTTGTTTTTGCAAATATTTCCGGTGCCACTTTTTAATTTTACTTTTTCCATATCCACCTTGATAATTAATTTTATACTGTATCTGATCATTATTTCTACAATTTAAGAAACTGTATATTGCAGATTTGAAAGAGTTATTAAACTCACCTAAAATTTAACAAAAATAATAACAAAAAAAAAAAGATACTGCCTCATATGACATAATTATCAGAAGCTAAAATTATTAAAACTACGTATCATGAACAGACAATTCTCTTCCGATACTTCCTACCGCACCAATTTGCAGTGTTCCCTTTACACGGAATACAAATCTTTGATTAATTAATCCAATAAAATTACCTTTGTTAGATCTTTGATTTAATTTATAAAAACTGTGCATCGTAAGTAAGGTTTGATAGATGGGAGGCTCACCCTACTCAAACATTACTTCATTAATTTTTCCCAGGCCAAATGAATACATCAGAGTGATGAAATAACACGAGCAAAGCTCACAAACAATGATAGTACCAATGACGCTAACACCAAAGTTAACTTTGGTAAATATGATTTCATTCGAGAGTTTATTTTAATTGTGATATAAAAAAACCTCATTGTCAAGGATGGCCCGTTTAACTTTAAAGTTACGATAGATACAAACCAACTTGTCTTCTTCATTTTCTCTACAAAGAAACCATGACTCTCTCTCCTCGCATATTTAACGATCCTTTATTTAACGATCCCTTCTTTAGCGATCCCTTCTTTAACGATTATGGGTATGGATATGGATATGGGGATTATGAGCTCAACCAGTTACCTCGCGGGTACGAATCTGATCGCACCAGTGGAGATTATTACGGGCGTGGAAGGGACATGGGACGCAGAATCCCTATTCAAGACCGTATCCCTCGTCATGTTGGAAGTCGCGTGATGACCGAGCGCGAAGGTTATTATTATCATCCGTTGTTCGTGTCCGCTGCTATTTTTCGTTCTGTATTCTGAAGATCATAATTATTTTTAGGGGACACTGTTTGGCGTCCAGCCACCGACGTTTATGATACTAATGAAGTAGGTTCATAGAGAATGCTATATTTTCGAATGATCGATCAGTAACAAATATTTTATTAACATCAGGCATTTATCATACATGTCGATTTACCCGTGAGTATTTTCAAATGCAGAATAAGATAAAACAAAGAATCGTCATGTTTCAATAATTATTTCTGAACCGAAATCAGGGAGTTCCCAAGGATGAAATCGCAATTGATTTGAGAGATCGCGAAATCGTTGTTTCTGGTGAGAGAAAAAGAGGCCCTGGTTACGAAGCTGCAACTTCACGTGTTAGAGAACGTCAGATCGGAAAGTTCCGCAAGGTACGAACGAACGCACATAAATTTGAATGTCATATAAAATTTCAGCATTCGTGATTTTTTATATTTTTGATGTTTATTTCTCTACGATAGCACGTGTTTCTGCCTAGAGGAAAGTATCGATCGTTTTGATATACATGTCATTCTTGTTATTACCTATCATCATTGTTTTTATTTGTTTTGTTTGTCTTTTTTCTTTTTTTTTTTTCTGAACAATAGATATGTCGCTCGATCGTGAAAATATCGAAGCAAGATATCAAGATGGATTGCTTGAAGTC